CCCTTGAGCCTCTTCCCCCGAACCTACGCCGGGGCCTGGGGGACTAGGGGGCCCGTGGAGCTGCGGGAAAGCGGGGTCGCACCGCAGCCTGCTCCTGTCCACCGCCATCTCCCAGGCCAGGAGCACAGCGGGCTGGAGCGCGCTGCTTCCCTCCGTGCAGGGCTCCGCGCGGCCACCCCAGGAACGGGACAGCTCTGTACACACCTCCCCGGCGCCACAGGCACATGCCGCGGCGGAGTCAGCGCCTCCAGTGGGGTTGGGACAGGGCATTTTAAATCACCTGGGGTGGCAGGCGTGGGGAAGGGTGCGCCGGGGGAACACGTGTGCCGGGGAGCATGTGGTGCTGCAGGCGGGGCGAGAGACCCCCCTGCCCTCTGGCCACTACCAAAGGCGGGTGGCTGCTGGCCCGCTAGGAGGATTTGATGACTGGCCCTGGGCCTAAGAGAAACCAAGTTTGAGATCCCCTGCTCTGTAAACAGCCCTTCAATTGCCTATGGCCGTGGGTGACAACAACACAGCTCCTGCCTTCTGAATCATCTGTCCTTTTATCGCAGCAACAACACCCCAAAAGACTCTTCAACATAGAGCCCCTTCCTCATAGGATTGCAACATTAAGGAGTCTCATATCCTTTGACCAAAGTTCAGATCTGAAGAAAGAGGTTTCCAGTAGGGATGTTAAATATCAGTTAATTGAATAATCGGGTAACCTCATAAATTCTTATCTGTTAGTTGACTATTCTATAATCCCCAGGGGGGCAGGGCCCGAGCAGCGACTGAAACACTAACTTCTCAGAATTTGTGACTAAACTGAGAAGTTGCACTTTTTGACTATACACCGGCAGCGGGAACTAGTTTGTGAGAGAAGCCAGTTTAAAAACCAGCTCCGCTTGCAGACCTGCTGTTTGTCGCCCTGTGCTGCTGCCTCTGATAAAGAGACAGCAGTGTGGGGTGGCAGCAGCTCCTTGGGGGGGAGGCTTTCTGAGTTCCCAGACCCAGTACCAACTGGAACTGAGCTAGACTGCTTGCCGCCAGGCTCCTAATACACTTTAAAGGCAGAGCTACAGAGGGAGTAGGTCCCAGACCTGGTTTAAGCCAGAATTGAGCCACACTATTGGCCAGCCTGCTAAAAAATTTACTTGTGGGGGGAGGAGGAAAATGTATGTAGTCTATAGCATTAACCTATAAGCATTTACTTATCAGTTAATCAGCTACACTATTACATCCCTAGTTTCCAGTACATTGCTAAATGCACTCATTTGATCACGTTTGTTTTTCATTTAGAAAACAGTCGTTTCTGAATTTGTCATTTTAAGATTTTGAAAGTTGTCTGCCTTCCTCTCTGAAAATTAAAATGTAAATTCTGGTAATTGTAAATCTGCACACTGTATGACTTCTAAAACTTGACCTAGGGAGAAGAGACAATTATTTCAACTGTTGGTTATTAGCTAGGAGTTAAAATTAAGAACTTTTTACAGTTGTTTTATGACAAGTTATGGACATTCTGGTTACACATTCTGCAGAGATTGCTGCCAAAGGAGAAAGGATGATAATAATGAAGTGGGACACCATGTTTTCCAATTGTTTACTATAAATCCTTTAAAAATAATT